TGCCCCGTTTAACTTCGCAAGTGAGCTCGTTCGCATGGCTCAATCACGTCCTGGTTGAAGTTCGTTCGCTACGCTCACTCACCTTTAGGTTGGAGCTCGTTCGCTCCGCTTACTTGCCTTCAGGTTAGCTCGTTCGCTACGCTAACTCGCTTCCAGGTTGAAGTTCGTTCGCTACGCTCACTCACCTTTTGGTTGCAAATTGGCTGTAGTCATAAATTTAAAAATAATAGTGCTTCACCCTGTTGGTAATCCTTGTAACTTTAATGCTATTGAACATCATAGAACAGAACCAACTTGTTTAATAGAAACAGCTGTTAAGAAATTCCTTTTAAATATGAAAAATCGTAAGGTTAACATGGGAAACTCCAGAGCCACTGAGGCAGAGCCCGAAAGCCCGATCAGAATAAAAACTACTTAGTATTCCTATTTAATGCCCAAAGAATCGGTGTACCGAATTTCAGCCTCCTAGGTAAATGAGAAGTGGGAGAATTAGTGATGAGTGAGTGAGTGAGTCAGTCATTCAGTGAGGGCTTTGCCTTTTATATATTTAGATGTATTATAATAATTTATTTTAACAGTAAGTTTGTTGAAAATCGGTGTTGCGATTATAGGTGTTACTGTATAATCGTTCATCTATAGCTCTTTTTACAGCACAAGACATAATGAAACTGCACGGTCACAATATTTGATGGCTCTTCTCCGCTGGCGGAATCCGCACTGCTACTGCTCTCAGACCAGTATGATTACTCCGCCATGCGGAACGGAAATTTCGGGATGCGGAATCGCAAGTCAGTGGAACCGCATACATTGGAACTCCATTAAACCAGTGTCGTTTTAATTCCGCAGCGGAAAAAATCGCACCGCATGGCGGAGATTCCGCATCCTGTGGGACCAGGCCTTAACTGTTGAGATCTATTTTAAAACAGAATTTTCATCGATCTTAAAAAAATGTAAGAACTTTACTGTTAGACAATTTGTCTGCTAACTTCAGTTTAGTAGGATATATATACAATTTTTAGATAAAAAAAAATTTTTGTTAAATATATTTTAATCAACAAATACCCCCGCCGCAGCAAACCTGCAGGTTAAGCGAATTTCCATATGCCTGATTAGATTTTCACTAAAATAGGTATCTCCTTAGAAAATGTCAAATTTGTTCCATTTTTAAATATTAGTTGAACGAGGACTTAGGTTTGCTGCTACAGGAAAGGTAATTTGGCGTTTCGTGAAATGTTACTTGTTTAGTTTGAAATAAATATCTATTCCAATTATTACCCATAAAAACCCATTCCCATTGTCCGTCATGTTGGTTGGCGGACTCTTTCGAATCAATGTAGGCCTACCTAGCTGAAATACTCGTTTAAACCAAATTTAATTAAAACCGGATCATTTTTGCTTAAGTTATCGTACTAACGAGCATATATATATATTATGAATTAGGCCTAGAACGAATGTCGTTTTTGGCTCTTACAAAAAAGTAAATCAGTCCCAGGTCTTACCATGAGACCTATGGTAATAGCGTAATAGCTTATTCCCTATATGGGAAATGTAATAAAAGATCACAAATATTTGCTGCTAACAGTTACTTACTAACTAATATCTTTGGCCATTGTTACAGCTAGATATTCCATCTCCATGTTAATTTTGTATCGAGATTTTAAATCAAAATCGTCGTAATTGATGTCAGACACCAGACAGATTGCGCTGATCTAATTACTAAATTCTGTTGAATTTTTGTACCAAGTTAAACTTAGTCTATGGAATGAGTTATGGTAAGCTATAGTAACTGTTGTGATCAATCAACTTAGTTAGGAAAAAATATAAGGTATAATAGAATTTTAGACAATAGCGCATTCAATGACTGGCTCACATAACAAAGTTCTTTCTTAATTAAAAATTGGCGACAGATGATCCGATTAAATGGGATGTCCACTTCAGAACCTATCCAATAGTCAGTGCTAATATCTACACAGAGCATAATACCATTGACTATTGGTCATAGATAATACCTTCCCATCCAACCTTCAGACACTATCAGGCCCTTAAAAAAAAAACAGGCGGAGAAAAAACAGAGTTAAAAATACAAAATATTTTTAAGAGCTACTAGTACAGAACTACTGTATACTGTCTTCGATCTTAATTGGAATTCAGAAAAAGGTTTACTCGTGTGAAAGATCTAAAGGCCTACGTCTTTTCTAGACAGCTGAACCAAAATCTTAAGTTAGTGATGTGACGAGTAGAGTATATCCTTGACTCTAGTCAACTAGACTCATGACTGTGTCAACTCGACTCAGACTCAACTCGGTATCATTGTGAAACTTAAGCCTTCATCGGGCGAGTTCGGGTCCGCTTGCAATGCAGCCAACAGTTGTAGTTTGGCGAGTCAGACTCGACTCGCATTCAGCCAATAGCGTTTAAGTTTCACGAGTCAACTCGTTACGTTCTGAGTTTGTGTAGGTTTGGCTTTCTCCGTATGAGTTTGGTTTCTTGACTTTAATCTAGAATCCAGACCAAAGCATTGAAGTTTCACGAGTCGGACTTGTTACGTTCCAAGTTCATATACATTTGGCAATCTCCGTACGAGTTTGTGTCCAACTCGAGTTATGAATGAGTTGACTCGAGTTAGCCCTTGACTTGAGTCAACTCGACTCATCAACTCAACTCTTCACATCACTATCTTAAGGTAGGCTACGACCCCCAAGTTATCACATAGGCAAAGACCATCAGTGATAAAATTAAATATTAACCCAAGTCTCCATGACCAAAGTGCTACGATCCTACCACTAGAAATCAGAGGAGGGTTTAAGATAGAAAAGAGACGAGGAACGCTGTGGTAAAAGGTGATGTGACAAGACTTGTTCACTATTTTTTTAAACCCCTATTTAATAGATCTCATTTTAAGCTCTTAATTCCCATGCAGCGATGCATTAAATTCAAATAACAGTTCTGAAAACTAACTGTACACATTGCCACTGTCAATGTTTAGACGAAGACTAACCTTAAAATTTAAATCAGTACTAACTTTTATAGCTATAGACTTTTTGTAATGATTACTTAACTTAAATTTGTACCTGTTAATACCTGTAAAGCTGACTTGATCAAATGTGTTATACACTATTGAAGAATACAGTAGGCTAATCGACTTGAAATGCTCAGGCAAAAACGACGCCATGCCAACAGTCCAGCGGACCCACACTCTGGATAACATCAAACCCAAACCATTATGCTACCAGTACACTCTCGCTTAGGTGCTCTCCGAGTAATTCAGGCAAGAGCTCGGCATAGATCGCATGCGAGGTAACCATTTACACTCTCGCTTTGTCTCGTAGCCAAAATGAAAGCGCTTTATGCGCTCGGCAGTCTCTGGTTTTTGACTCATGTCAAAAAAAACCGACTCCAGACAGAGCGCAGGCGAGCCCGAGACTAGTCGAGGCGACTTGAGTTGGTGCGAGAGAAATTGAGCGCACCCAGTACAGTACACGACTAGAGTTATTTTCACTACGTAGGCTTGCTTTTGATTATTGCCATGAGTCTTCACCTTGCTCTACCAAGTGATATTCTCTAGTCTAGGCCTATATATTTTAGAGGTATATGACTTAAAGTTCAAGATGCCAACATAAGAATATATCATGCAGAACCGCCACTGCAAGTAGGGAGACTATTTTGCTGAAAGGTTATGAAGGATTGTATTCAATGGATAATTACAGTATTTCATTACCGACATGTGTATGAGCAATAATATGAAATCACTTTAACGGAGCTGATTTTTAGTTTGAAATAACTTTGTTATTTGAGTAAGTTAGTAACCCGAGTTACAGTAGTAAGCCTAAGTCAAGATGACACCATACGAGTAGGTTTTGTGTAGAAAATACCTGTATGTTACATAACTCAAACAGAATATTGTAACCTAAATTGACTACGGTACCTAGCCTAATAATCTCATCATAGTTTATTGCAAACTATTTTTGTGGTGACGTAACTTAAGCCTATAGCGCAACGGCAGAAACATGAAAACATACCAGTACCTGAATCCATCCAGCACGAGTGTTGATTTCTCAAAACAAGAAACACAACCGGTAGGTACGAAATAACTATAAATCCTATCCTATCCTAGCCTTTGATAACTCAGAGCTTTAGGTAATTGATGGACTTTGGTGTTTTATCTCGGTGTATATGTAATGTTGTATTATCATTTGTAAGCTTAGCGCACCCTAATTTATGTTATAGGTCATTCTATCATATTAATAAATGTAAGTTATAACACAGAATGTTTGAAACGAGGGTTTAGAGATTACTTACTGTAACTCGATTAATTGCAGTTGTTGCAAAATAACATAAGTTTTACATAGGTTAGGCTATGTTCGGACTAATTCTTGTTCGACTCATTCTCACTAAGTTAAAAGATTACGTAAGTTTAGCTGTGACCTTTCTCACCTAGCTATATATCTCGTTAAATTTTATGATTTCTTCAGAACTATGATCTGACAGGTTTAAAAGGATTTCAGTTTATTCAGCGCATACTCAATATGCTAGCTTAGGTTTCTGATACCTAACCGTTAAATTATATGGAGGCTAACTTACCATCCCTACGCCTGCTGCAAGATAAGTTAAGTTGTCAAAATCAGTTACCCAACTCAACACCTCATTGCGAGAAATCTGATCAGTCAAATTAAAATAGGTTAACAGTTATAAATAATAAACACTGTGTGTACAAAAATATTTACATTTGAGGTTATGTCTGGCACACAAAAAACAGCTAAATTTTACCGGGTTTTACCATACTGGTACATATCTAATAGTTATTACATTTTAACACCTAAATGTTTACTCTAAAAGTACATAACTCCATCATAAACAAACTCGTAAACAAATCAATAGCACCTTAGTTCTTTTGGAGGTTATCATAGAAGAAATTTTCAGAAACTTGATTCGTTTGGCTTGGCTGAGTGAGTTTGAATCATAACAAACTAATCGAATTATATAAAAGAATATAGATTTACCTGTCTATGACAATCCACCTAAAGTATAATAACTTGTGAATTTAAAAACAAAACATGATAATCATCATTCACATCACATCTTTGTTTACAATCAATGTTGTTATTTCACTTCACTTTCTTCTTCTTCCAATTCGAGTCGAAGTCGAAGACAACAACGATCAGCTGTACCCAGTACCCACAATCCTCTGCGGCTCGCATGCGCGCTGATTTTAAAAATTAATATTGCATATGAATACATTACCTAAATCCTGTATTGCGATCCAATTGTATATTCAACTGAAATTTCATCAGCGTAAATATTGAAATTTATAATTATCAAAGGTGATTTATGGAAATATACCAACATTAAAATAATAAAAGAATCCATAAAATGTTGCGGTGGGTGGTGAATCCTTGTCAGTAAGTTGGAATAGTCAGGAACGAAAAGTATACCGCCGCCGCGGCATGTAACATGTGTTCGTTCAGCCATTGCGTCTCGTTTCTGTCATTGTTTACCTTATTTGTAGGTCCATGTTTTGTTTTCTAGTTTGTCTATGGTTTAGCAGTTCGTGCAGAAATGTCCTGTGGGAATAGGTGCTTGATGACACAAGTACATACAGGTATGATAGTGTTAACATTATTAGAACCAGGTTAAAACAAACCCTGTGATTGTTATGTAGATAACAGAAAAAATGTTTATGTAACCAAATTATTTATTCAGGTAGTAATGATTGGTTTACTAGATTGGTTTATACATTATGCATTCTATGAAGATACTTATCTTAAATAAATTACATAATGTTACATACTGGATGTCGAATTAATCGTAAACTCGCGATTTCACAATTTCGTGATTTTTACTTTGAACTGTTTATACTACCATAAAACTAGCTTTTTAAATAAAATTCAAAGGAGTATTTAGATTTATGTTTATTGTTTATTCTTTCAGCAAGATTCAACCTAAACATTTAATATACCTACATGTAAACGATAACCAGTCCATTTTATACTAGTAAATAATAAACTTTAAACAATGAATATTAAAGTGCAACAAGTTATAAGATTTTCTGTGTTATTTTAATGTATGCTTATAATATATCAGTCTAGAACCCTTTCTCGTTTTTATGTTTCTAATTTCTCACAATACCTATACTGTACTATTACCCTTACAGGTTTATTCATATACACATTTATATTACATCCAAGTTAAATGTTATTTATAATATGCCATACTGACGTAGGCCTATTTATCAAGATTAGATACTTTTTTATAATCTACCTACAATATTCTTAGAAGAAGAATGTATTTTTTTGGCAGGGTTGCATTTCCACACTTTCTAACGTAGTTTTTAGAAGTATTTTTTGTGAGTTAGTTTATCTACAATATCCTCCAAAAGGCTTTCAACCTTTTCATCCTATTCAATGTTTCTACGTTAATCTTTTGTATTAAATAAGTGGTTTTGTATTATTTAATCTGATGGTGGGTTGGTTGTCAAATATTTTATAACCAGCTTATTCATGATTACTAATAACGAATGTATTATTTCCAGTATAAGCATGCATGATTGAATGTACCGTATGAATTATTTTACCTATTCTAATTTTATTTTCTGTATTACTTAATTTTGAACATAATTTATTTTAAATCAAATAGAGCAAAGAAGTGATAAATATTTTAACTATAGGCTAAAACAAAATATATTTTTATCATGAGAGCCACATAAGATTCCTTGGTGGGTTTTCCTGTAGGAATGATACTACTAAATTTGTATTACATAGATTGTAATTGGGCCTTACATTTTAACTATATACTCTGCATTGCACATGTTAGTTTTCATATTTTATTCATAAAGATTTGTATATCAGAATTGTTGCACTCTTAAAAATCAAAATAAATAATCAATATTGTTACACACCTAACCGATGTGATAACTTTTTCACTTACGACTTATTTTCAAACCCTGTAAGCCCTTAAAAACACTGTTCCACGAATCTTCGACACAGCTGAGAGTTTCAAGAGGTTTAAAATTAGTGAGTCCCAATTAACGGAGAATTTATAGCACGAGTGACGAGGTTCGGATATTTCCAGCTCTGAAGTGTTCTCCATTCTCCATTATGTGGACGGCTATTTTTGGATTGTAAAAACACAGATGCACGATTGAATTATGAATTATTCACTGCCTTCTATTTTTGCCCGCGGCCGTGTAGATCCAAACAATACAGAAACATTGTAATACAGCTGTTCAGACTGCTGTTGGTAAACGACCACTTTGGTGAATGCACTTTGTATTAATTGTTTGGTTATGATACTGTTGTGGAATTTTTTTAACTTCACAAAATTTGATGTTCAGTTTATATCTATGGTGAATATTTAATTGAATCCTTTTCTGAAATACTATTTTCCAGAATTACTGCGCCGTAACACGGGCAATGAAATACATTACAAGGTTAAAAGTTTGGTTGGATAGAGAATATTTTTTAATTTTTGTGTATATACAAATGAGGTTTAACTATGAACGGGTAAGTTTTTCAAGTATCAGTTAAGTAGGGGACACCACTTAGGTACGTATTTTAACCCAAATATGAGTAAAGGAGGGTACAATGGAGTGAAATGATCCAAATAACTTCTTGATCAGCATTGTACGTGTTATTAAATTTACGGAAAGTAAATAAAAGAAACGTCTTATAACACTTAAAAACCATATTTACGCTTATACTGTTTGTTACTCACATGACAGTAAATATACAAGACTGGACCGACTCCAATCATCATCAGACCCAATATGCGAATGTCATTGATGATGATTGGAGTGTCCAATCGAAACTGATCACCACTTACCATCTTTTATGTATATTTACCGTCTTGTGAGAAACAGTATAAGCGTAAATATATGTTTTAAGTTTTATAAGACGTTTCTTTTATTTACTTTCCGTGAATTTATATGTGTAGCTTTGTTACTGACTAAGATCAGCTGTTTAATTAGCCAGGATAGTTTATATTCCAATGATCAGGAACAGCTGGGCCCAGTATCGAACCATCAAAAGCTACTGACTTTCCACAGGATCCAAGGTTTAATTGATTATGGTATCATCAATTATCTATTTCAGGTCGTTTGGTTAAAAACGTAGGTATTTTGATTCTTTGACACAAGATGTATGTATTAGTGATTACATTTAACTACCATTGAACTACAAAACAAACCGTCGTAAATGAGATTTTGTTCAAAACCCTCAATCCCCCCCCCCCCCCAATAATGAATCAGCAATTAAAAAACAAAATTATCTTTACTACACAGAACGAATCACCAACTATCATTTGATCCCAAACAAGGGAAATTCTAGCATAAATAATCCTCGCCCAAGATAACATTAACCTGCTGGCCACTGTTTGTTTACCAAAGGTCACTTCGGTGGTTGTATCAGCTGATTGTTGTTCACACATGGCGAGGGGTCAATAGTAAGGGGTGGGGGGAGACACCGGCTAGCCAAACTTTTTGTTGTCCCCTTGTTTTGGAAGTAACACTGTCGGTTTTCGTTGGACGCCTTTCTGTTATCCAACCCCAGACCGGAAATCGCCGCCTTTTGCACTTTTATTGTCACCGATCTCTTGTCGCTTCCTTACTCGACTGCTATTTTCAGCGGATTATTCATAGTACGGAGAAAGTTTTATGTTGAAAAATTTAGAAATATACAACAAATACGTGTTATATATTAATTTGACTATTATATTGATTATGGAAGACACAAAGTAACCAATAAAAAAATTATTCTATGAATAAAAAATCAGTAGGGCCTATCCTGTAAAATACGCCAAGAAAAGTGCTATGGCTCGTTTCCTCTTTTATTACAATTAGGCCTATAGTTGATTTCGAGTATTATTAGAGTACAATTTCAAAATAATCTTGTTCTATTTTTTTACAAAATTATCAAATAGTAAAATTGGTAGTATTGTTACAGAATGACAACGATATTTTTGTTCTGTTGTTTCCTACGATATACACTCCCAAATCGCTCACTAAAGGTGCAAAAACAAACCCTATACGGTCATACGTTTTAATATTTAACATTTATAAAAACACACCCTCATATAACCATTATATTTCTGAATAATCGTAAAAGCGAAATACAATATTATTTTAGTAATGTTTCTGTTTGGTATGTAGAGTTCGACCTAATATTTGCCATATATTTTTGTTATTATAATTGTAAAAAACATTGTTACCAAATAAAAAGATTTATTTGATTATTTATTTATTGCTGCTTCTTCCCTGGCAAAATCAAGATACGGCGTCGATTCTGTCCATATCAGAGGCAGCCCACTCAAGTCAAGAGTATTCGGCCACGCAAATATCAAAACATTCAAAACCAGCTTCATATTAAATATATAATCAAAAGTCCAAAAGTAAATTGTATTGCAAATGGGCATGCATAATCAAAAAGCTAAAATGTTTTAGAGCTTCCTATGTATCCTCAGAAAGGCAGATGTTTATAAATGTCATTCAACTAGTAATTTCATCCAAATTAAGTAAATTGAGTCCAAAATAATCCTACAAAATATGCCAGGCAAATACCTACAAACCACAGCAACAAGTCACGTTCGTTGCATCGCCTAAACCCCGCGGACCATGACCGGAAGTGACGTCAAAAACAATAACAAGATCATCAAGGAGGCAGTAAAAACTATCGGCTCAATCAATAGAGTGGCGACGTGATTTGACGGGCTGTGAACTAGGAAATGAGGAAGAAGAACATCACTGTTAGTGTCAGTGAAAATGAGGTTTGTAATTATTGTAAGAAGTGGAAATTGAAATGTTTAAAGATCTTGAAACTTTTCCCAGGAAGTTTACTGAGATATTTTGAAAATTCTGACATATACGACGTGCCAACGTACGAAATAACTAAATCATCGAAAGCTTACTCATCTAGGTAATATTGATCTACTTTAAGAATAAGGCGTTCTTCTATAAGTTACTGAAAACACTGCTTGACATAACTAAAAAAAAACTTAGACTTACATCATTGAACGGTAAACCTATTTAGAAAACAATGAAGGAGTTAGAAAACATACGTTCCTGAACGAATAAAATTTTATCTAAATTCTAGAGCAAAGCGTT